CCAGCCTAGGCTGGTTGGCTGGTTTTAGCTGGTCGACCAGGCTGGTTTTAGAGGGGTTTTGGCCACTTCCAGGCTGGTTTCCAGCCATTTCCAGCCTGGTCTTAGTTGGTCAGGCTGGAAAATGACCAGCCAAATCCAGCGAAAACCAGCTTGACCAGCCTGGTTTAATCTGGATATAGCTGGTTTTGAATGGACTTCCAGCTTGGCTAGGCTGGTCAAGCTGGTTTTAGCTGGTCATCTCCCAGCCTGGCCAGCTAACACCAGGCTGGAAATGGCTGAAAACCAGCCTGGAAGTGGCCAAAACCCCTCTAAAACCAGCCTGGTTGACCAACTAAAACCAGCCAACCAGCATGTTGTATTACTAATGTGCCAATGTTTCTATGATTTTTATGTACAATGCGGTTTGTTAAGTCATATTTTCTGTCTTTTAGTAGAGCTATTATACGGGAGATTGACTTAATGTGATTAATGTTTACATTGTAAACGTTAAATAAAAGTTCAAAAGTTATTATTTATTTAGTTACTCTACACTTCAGCAGAAGAAACACCCTCAAAAGAGTTAGAAACTTGTAAAAGTGAGCACTTTCTAATGAGAGAAATCATTGTAAATCAAAACCATTTCATTTTATATGTAAACTGTCCTTTTAAAAAAAAAAGAAAAATGATGTACATCTATACATGTGAGACCATAATTATTCCTAAATTAATTGTTTATATTTAAAACAAATGTTATACTTGTATATCCGCTTGTTAAGTGGTGACGTGTTGGTGATGTATGTAATACTGTTTCGGGGTCCAAGCCGCCACTCATTTGAGTTGAGAAGCTATTTGTTTATGATCACTTTTAATTCGTATAACACAATATAGTACATTTTATATAAAGTCTTAGTGTACACAACAATCTCTGGGCTTGCTGCATAACAAATACCAAAATGTTAACAATTTATAAAAATAATAATCACTTTCTGGCTATTGGATATTAGGCATGGACATGTATACTGCGATCGTGATTTTCGAAAGCCTTAAATCGCTTTGTAAACGTTTATAATTACCATTTCATGAGTCTCCCCGTACAGTTGAATAGAGCGCTTGGACCCGGAAGCCGCTTCGCGTGATGTCACACTTAACAAGCGGATACATAAATAATAATAAACATGTCAATGTTTTGGTTTTGTATTTTTAAATTTATACATGCATACAGTGGGGGATATAAGTGCTGAACACGTCTCAGAAAACGTATTTCTGAAGGTGCTGTTGACTTTATAGTTTCCCCAGATGTTCATTACAACCCAAAGAAATCCATAAATGCAGAGAAAACAAAACTAGTTTACAAGTGAAGTTCTGTTTAATGAAAGGAAATAACAGAGGAAAAAAGGATTGAACAGATGAAGAAAGGGAGGTGTAATTTAGCAGTGAAAGCCCAGACAGCAGTCGAAATCTCTCCGTAGTTCTTCACCCTCTGCCCTTCCTCAGTGTAAATGAAGATCAGAAGTCCAACATCTACATTAACAGGAGGATGAAGATCAAACCATTTCAGCAAGACGATGATCCAAAACACAGCCGAGGAGACTCTCAGATGCTTTCAGAGAAAGAAAATCAAGCTGTAGAATGGCCAAGCCAATCACCTGACCCGAACCCAATAGAGAATACAGAATAAAGCTCAGATTTGATAGACAAAGCCCACTGAAACATCAAGATTTGGACACTCTGATGAAGAAAAACTCGCACCTGAGCAGTGCATGAGGCTTCATTCTCCATATTAGAGGTGTCTATAAGCTGCAGCACCACTTTATATCAAATATTAATGACATTTTCTGTAGTTCAGCTCTTTCTCCGTTATTTCACTGTTATTACACTCATATTTCAGATTTGTTTTGTTTTATTTTATGTTTGTTTTGTTTGGGTTTTTACCAAAATCTGCCTTAATTGCATGTCAATAGCTCTATATTCCTGAGAAATATTACTCCCAGGAATAAACACACATGACAATACTGATTTCCCCCACTGTACATACAGTTAAAGACACAATTATTACCCCCCTGAATTATTAGACCGCTTGTTTATTTTTTTCCCCCATTTTCTGTTTAACTGAGTGAAGATTTTTTCAGCACATTTCTAATCATAATAGTTTTAATAACTCATCTCTAATAACTGATTTATTTTCTCTTTACCATGATGACAGCACATAATATTAGACTAGATATTTTATAGACACTTCTATACAGCTTAAAGTGACATGTAAAGGCCTAACTAGGGTAATTAAGGTAACTAGGCAGGTTAGGGTAATTAGGCAAGTTATTGTATAACAGTGGTTTGTTCTGTAGGTTATCGAGAAAAATATAGCTTAAAGGAGCTAATCATTTTGTCCCTAAAATAGTATTTAAAAAATTAATAACTGCTTTTATTCTAGCCGAAATCAAACAAATAAAACTTTCTCCAGAAGAAAAAATATTATCAGACACACTGTGAAAATTTCCTTGCTCTGGTAAACATCATTTGGAAAATATTTAAAAAAGAAGAAAAAAATTCGAAGGGGGCGAATAATTCTGACAGCACCAGTATGTATTTGTTTGTAATTTGCCACACTTATAAAGTATTGGTTAAGGTTTCCCAAGCTGATGCACCTGGAAAGTGTTTGAAAGGACTGTCCTGCATGCAGTAATGTTTGCGTGTTTCTCCTGCTAGCTGACAGAAGTGAACCTGAACAACATGCTGTGTCCTGCGGTGTCGGACCCCTTCTACGGGCCGTGGTACAGGGTCTGGGCGACGGCCCACCAGACGGCGCTGACTCTGGTGCATGGGAAGACCCTGACGGTTCTGTCGCAGCACAGCGGCTCGGCCTGCAGGCTTCTGCTGGATTCAGCTCGACTGCGCAGCAAGAAGGTGGACTAGAGCTCCGGCTGCAGCCTTACACGGACAAAACCTCAACAATACGGCCCATACTGCAGTACACGGAGCCAATGCTGCTGCCGCTGCTGTCAAAAGTACCACTCTGTACTGTCATCTCAAACTCATAATGATCATCCCATTCACGACCATTCATTTCACACAAACAGATAATAATAATAGATTTCTGCTAACATTTGAGTGGGTTCTTAAAGGGCTAGTTCACCAGAAAATGTTAACTGGCAAACGCTCAATAGGTGTAACACTGCAAAAAACGCTTTTCTTACTGTCTCGTTTTAGTGCAAATATCTAAAAATTATTAAATCAAGGATATTTTCAAGACAATTAAAAAAAATTTCTTTGTTTTGAGAAATTAGTCAGAATTAAGTGTTTGTTTTTTATATAAAACAAGCAAAATAATCTTGTTTTACTGTTAAAATAGGATTATTTAGCTTCCCCCATTGGCAGATTATTTTGACTTCATTTTGACTCATTATTTCTGAAGACAACACGATGTGTTTTGCTTGTCTAGAAAATGCATCTTGATTTAACAATCTTTAGATATTTAGACTAGAAACAAGACAAAAACGGCAATCCTTTTAAAGTAGTGTAATGGCAACAGGTGTTTTTCTTCATCAAACTTTTGACATTTATTTTAAAACTTATGTGCTCATGTTTATGATCCAAATGAGCATTTTTGCACTGCAAAAGAAACAATGCTTTACTGATGCCGAGTTCAGACTGCTGGATTTTGAAAGTCGTCGTGTCACAGATGTGTTCACACTGCTTGACCATCTGGGCTTGCGTTCTGTCGCTGCTTTGTTTACACTGCAAGAAGGATCGGCGACATGGACATTCACATTGCATGACTTTACTATAGGAAGAATCGCCGACAACTTCGTCCAAACTACGTCTCACAGCCAAAAACACGTGGTATTTCTTTTGTTATTAACTACATAGCGAGAAAGAAGCCTGTAATGGGGTTGAAAATGTACATATGTGCTCACCTGGGTTTAAAGGGAATTAGCCATTTCTCCTCAACTTTTTTTTTTTATCTTTCAGTATGAAACGTCAAACAGACACGGTTGCTCCTGAGTCCTGTCAAACCTCCACTAGTTTTTCCTCCATTTC